CTTCAAATAAGACAATGCGACCAAAGCGAGGAACAAATGCAAACAAATGCCCGACTTAAAGTAGCAGACTCCCTCACCATCTGTTTGCAGACCAAGTTCTTCTCCAAGACCGTAAGGACACGGAGACGTAGAACTGTCCGTCCAATCACAATTCGGTGCCGCATAAAGTGAGCTTTTCAGGAGTGACAGAGGTGTTACGGCCCCTGGCCTTTTAAGACTGTGCAGGCTGGTTTTCTTATGCAGGTTCAGCTCTGACAGATCTTCCTTGTTGGCTGCCTGAAGACTGCAGAGGTGCAGTGACATGATTGGACCAGCAGAGGATTGTCAAGCCAATCAGGATGTTGATGAGGTCCACCTGCATCAGGTTGAGCTGCGGTTTTCGGCTTGGTCCTAGTGCCTGACGAGTGTCGGTGTACTGTAGCGTAACATTGCATTTTGGAAAGTAAAAGTTGAAGGGGACCGAAACTGACTTCTGAAAAAATGCAGGTGACATGTCCCCTGTGTCCCCCCCTAGAATTATGTCCATGCACTCAGGTGTTGATTCTGTAGCCGGGCTAATGCTGAGGGGATGGAGTCACTCGCTGATGTCGGGTTGGTAGAGACATAAACAGCCACCGTGGTTCCGTCTGGGCAGACAGTATGGTCGTAGTCAAACAGCATAAAGTTCAATGTTCAGATCACGCAGAGATGCTCTTGGATGGTGATGTGGGTGGGGTTGCACCATCGGTTGATGACTAGAACTGGGAGTCCCCCACCTTTGCTCTTGCCGCTCCTGGTGGGGTCTCTGCTGCTTGTCAACAAGTGACACAAACCACAACTTTTGTCAAGGCTCCAGTCTGTTTGTTTGTTTTTGTGTTTGTCTCCCTTCCACCAGCAGGAGGCGCCTGGTTCTAGTCTGCCTCCTCACACACCTGCTGACGGTTACCTCGTTAACGGAGTGCTCTTATGCTGCTGATTGCCACTACCTCAACACCAGAGTGTTTGCCAGTTTTTGGAAGTCATCCTGCAAACTGGACCTTTTTGGACCTCCTCTCCCAGGAGGGATCAACTGAGCCTCAAACTGAGCTGGGGATTCAAACTGGAGGTTTGGATCCAGTCTCCTTGAGAGGATGTCTGAGCAAGGGAATCATCTTCACCACGACCCGTTCAAGTACAGCAGGAAATCTGAGTGGCAATCAGCATCTCGGTTCACCTACACCGTCCTAGTTCTGGGTAAACCCTGTCCGCCCTCCACCGAATCAGACAAACCCTGGAAAACAACTCACAGATTGGAGTCAAAGATCCTTCACTTCTCTGGAAACGTGAGTCAACAACCAGATCCTCTTCTTCAAATCAATGAATGAAATTTCCCACTGAGCCTGAACTAATAGTCTGTCTTCCCTTCACCTTCCAGTTCCGGCAGAGCAGAGTTCAGAGCAACACTGCACCGTGCTTAATCTCTTCAATAAAACCTGTTAAACTTTTCATCTGTGTCTCTCTGGTTTCACTGCATGTGGGTCCGAGCTTTAGATAAAATCATGACAACTTTATTGTTATCTCAGAGGTTCGTTTGTTTTAAATCATTTGTTCAACCAGTTGCTGTAACATGTCGCTTCCTCAGCCTTCTCTTCATTAGAACATATGAGCCTGAAAGCCAGCCCGTCGTTACGGTCCACAAGACATCTGACAATTTATAATTCTGTTTTTCAGCCATTTTTAAAGTCGTACAAAAGCTGAGAGTTATTGCTGTTTTCGTGGGTTTGGGTCTCGCAGAGTGGAGATGCATCTGAAGATACCTGAAACAGTCGCTGATGCAAATGACTGGAGAAGCCATGATAAGGCGTCTGGAGACGGTCCAAAGGTTTAGGTTCTGAAGGAGCAGCACACCAACAGGCTCTATGGGGATGTTTGGCTCATGAACCCACATCTGCAGAGCTAATATGAACCAACCAGGCAACAAACTCTATCGCTTTGCTCAGTTATGATTAAATTTCCCCTTCAGCCATAAAAGTGCCTCATTCAGCAAGGCTGCAGTGATGGATTGTTGAATTACAGCCCTAAGGATGTCTCTGCAGGTTTCATTACACCTCCTCCCCATTCTACCCCTGCAGGTAGCATCCCATTCACCTGTCCCCCTAAAGGACTAATTCCACACCTTTCAAAGCTCTGACAGGTGTGCTGACTGCAAAGGAAAATGAAGGAGTTAAGTGAATCCTAAAATATCCAGGAGGATGACAGCTTGGTGTGGAGGCATGTCAAAACTGGCAGAGTCAGGAATGAAAAGCATCAGGGAGGGTTTAAGGGGTCAGAGTCAGGAAGCTGATCTGCATCTGTGGTCCTGATTGAGGCGTCAACGTCTCCAGTGGTGAAAGATGAGTCTTTTATAACTGGGTGTAGACTTTCATGAAGGGGGGGATGGAAACAGCTGCAGGTAGAGACACTTCTAGTCATTCCCCTAACATCAACATGAACCATCAGGCTCTCTGTGAAAGTCAACCTCAAGTTCAAAGATAAAAACAATAAGAAGAACTGATCCACTTTAATGAAGATGAAACAAATGGAAGAACTGGGTCTGACTGACCTTCTGCTCACTTTCAACCGCTTCCTGGATCCTCTCTGTTTTACCAACAAAGTTTCTAGTTGACTTTTAGTTTATCGCTCCGTCTGATTCCAGACAATTAAAAAATGCAAAAACAAGTCAAATAAATCCTGATTAATTGGAACAAGATAAATCAAACCAGGGATATTCACACCTGCTGCAGCAAAAGCAGATGGAAATATAAATAAAATAGGATAAAGAGAGGCTGAGGATGATAAAAACTTCTGTTTTTCTCCACAGTCCCACAAAGTCTGACTATGGTGGTCAGAAAATGTCATATTGCTAAACTCTTATTATTAGGTTTCATTAGGATAAGGGAAAAAAATGCTCCCTGTGAACAGGAAGAAATCTTGAAGTCCATTTGACGCCTCAAACGTAACCATACTCCAACAAACCAGCTGTGCTTTGAACTTCTGCTTCGTGGAGATGTGGCTGTGACCTTGATTTGCCATCATCAGTGTGTGTGAATTGGTGAATGTAGTGTAAAGCACTTTGGTCAAGCGCTATATAAGTACAGGACATTTACCATTTACTATTTACTATGATGTTCTGTCTGTTGTGACTCTTAGAAGTTCTGCAGCGATTACAGTTACAGCAGCTCATCAGGTGGACCAAACCACAAAACCCAGCCTTAATGAGCCTCAGATCTGGTTCAGGGCTCCTCGTTTCATCGCCCAACACTGACCACTGGAGAAGATCTGATATAGCAATCTACCCCTCAGGGGTTGGTTCCTATCTAAACTTCTGTCAATACTGACCATGTCCACCTTTCCCGCAATACTTTTCCAAGATCCAGCAATACTTTTGCGAGATCTCTCAAAAGTATTGCGAGATCCCGCAATACTTTTTCGAGATCACAAAAATATACTTTTGCGAGATCCCACAATAGTATTGCGAAATCTCACAAAAGTATTGCGAGATCTCTCAAAAGTATTGCGGGATCTCGTAAAAGTATAGCGGGATCTTGCAATACTTTTGAGAGATCTTGCAAAAGTATTGC